CCCGTTGTGGTGCCCCAAACGGTGTAATCCAAACCTGCAAAAGCCTCGCGAATACAACCGAAGGGTGTCTCGAAGAAACTGTACCACATAAGGTAAATCCAGAAGCGAGGTCGACCACATTGAGGAAAACCAACTGGTTGCCGGCGTAGTCGGCAAGAGTGAACAAGTCCACTCCGATGGAATCGTTGAAGTCCCTATCTAGCTTGATTCTCCCAGGTAGGTGCGGTAGGGGTCGCTGATGGGCGGCGCAGACTTCGCAGTACAGGTTGAGAGCCATCTCGACCGCTCTTTGGGATCCACCCGTCACTCAGATAGCCCGGGCCAGCGCGTCGTTGGCAGGGTGTCCCGTGTTGACGTGGAGCTGCAATATGGCGGACTTGAGCGTCCGCTCCTCCGCTGCCGTTAAGGCTGGCTCGGCAGGGGCTGCCGGGGCAGGCACTGTCCTTCTCGCGGCTCTCCGTCTCGCTGGTTCCGCGGGGTTTGCCTCGCGGTGCTTGGTCTTGTTCGTCTTGCGAAGCTGCTTGACCAGCGCGGCGACGAGCTTGTCGGTGTAGTTCTCGCTGTCCTTGGCAAGCTTGCCGCGGGCCTCGACGTGCTTGTGTAGGCCGTCGCAAAACTTGTGCAGCGAGTTGTCGATCCCGTAGTGGTCGGTAATGATCCTCCACGGCTTCTTGATCGCGCCCCCCCTCTTTGTCTGCAGGCCGTAGGCGCAGCCATCGAAATCGATGATGCGCGGGAGCTGGTCCTTCAGCTTCTTCGCGGTGTAGTTCTTCTTCTGGTCCCAGCCGTCGCAGTAGCGCGGCCACTCGAAGGAGACCGCGAGCTGGCTGCCGAACTCCTTCCGCAGGCGGCTCATTGACTTCAGGAAAAGGTCGATCATCCTCGCGGAATGATTCCGATCCTTCTCCAGTCTCTCGGCCTTGCCGGGGTCGATATTCAAGATGATGCGCTGCAGCGCGGTCCAGGGCGTGCATGGAAATGCGGCGTGGACCCGTACGCTCTGGCCCTTCCGCAGGTTCTTCCGGATCTTGCCCTCGAGCTTCTCGACGATGGGCTTCCGAGAAAGGTCGTATCCAGGAAGACCGCAACGTACAGCAGCTCCTCCACTCTCGGTCCACTTCGCACTGCATGAGCTTGCTGTCGGGGTTGCAGCACCACTCGTAGAGGATGGTGGCATTGCTCGAGGTTTCGCTCGAGCTCGCAGTTGACTTGGCCAGGTCTGCCTTGAGCGCCTGGCTGACCGTGTGCGGCTTGATGCCGCTCTTGTTGGTGACGATTGCCGACCGCTTGCCGGCGGTCAGCTGCAGCTTCGTCCCCTTCTTGAGCTGACGTACCTTCATCTGCTCTTCCTCCGCGATGTTGACCTCCTTCGGCTCGTTGTCGTTCTTGATGTCAAGCGTGACCGAGTTGCCGAAAACACACTCGGAGCAGAACCCGAGGTGGCAACAGTCTGTGTAGGACTTGGCGCCGCAGGCCGCGCAGTCGTCGAGGGACTCGGCGATGCAGGTATTAGGCGAAATCGCTGTTGGAGCAAACGTCGGCGGCGCGACCGCCGTCGAACAGCAGACCAACGCAGAGCTCACGGCGGCCATGAGCCTCGAGCTGCCACCGCGTCGCTGTTGAAGTCGCCTCGGTACGTTGAGCTCCTTCTTGGGGATGAGCCTCGTGATGTTCTCGAGCAGGTTTCTCGCCTTCGTAGTGAGGTTGACCGTGGGCTTCGGGGCTGGCTTCTTGGCGATGGCCTTTGTACCGACAGCCCTCGGTCCAAACTCGTGGCCCGCGCCCTTGATGGCGAGCCAGTCCTCCGGGTGGAGGTCGATCGCGGGATGTCCCGCGCTGCTCGTGATGAGCTTCTGGGAATGGTTTCCGATGCGGATCTGCTCCCTCCAGAGCGAGATGTCAATCTTGCTCGGTTGGACGAAGTCCCGGCCGATAAGCAGGCCGAGCGCGGGGCTGTCCACGACGCTGAACACTACGCGGCCAGCGCGTCCGCACAGCACGAGTGGGGCTGTGACGCGCAGCTTGCTCGGGAGCGTGCCGCCGTTCCCGAACCTGTAGACTTCGTTCTCGGGCTCCTCCAGGATCTGGTCGGCCAGACCCATCTTGGTGAGCTTCTCTCCTTGTGCTGCTTGTGCCAGCTGAGCCCGCCAACGCAGAACAGGCAGGCAGTGTCGATCACGCCGACACCGTCGTCGTTGGGCTTCTCGCCAGCGTTGGCGGCGTTTACGGTGGGCAAATCGGGCACCACGCGCTCGGAGACCAGGGTCTCGGGTGGCGGAGTGACCGGACCTTCTGGATGAAGAATCACCTCCTCGTCGCCGAACTCCACGTGGTTCTGATCGTGGACCTGCTCAGTGATGTTGGCCTGGCGGTGCGAGCGACCTCCGCCGCCTCGTCCTCCGCCCTTCTGCTTGGAATTCGGGGCGAACTTCCGAGCGCCTGGTGTCGGGCACTCCTTGTCACCGGTCCAGTGCCCCGCCTCGCCGCAGTCCCAGCACTTGGAGTTCTTCTTGCGCTGGTCCACGCGGCCCTGTAGCTTGCCCGCGGGTCGGCGCTTGGGCGAAGCCTTCCCGCGGCCCTCGATGGCCTCCCGGGCCGACCGCATGGTCGCCATGGCTTCGGGAATCGCGGCGAGCTCCGCCGCGGCGGCCTCCACATTTGCAGAGTCGCCCCTGTCGAACACCTCGCCGAGGTCGTAGTTGGACTGCTCCAGCTCGGCGCTGAAAGCCTCGAGCTCCTGGCGCACGATGTCCTGGGCGTCTGCCTCCGCGTCGTTGTCGTCGCCGTCCTCCAAGTCCTCATGCTCGTCCTCTGGCTCGTCGGCGACGTTGGCTGAACGTGCTCGGCTTGGCGATGAGCGCTGCCAACTACTGTTTGATCGCTGCGGCCACGGTCGTGACGGCAAGCTGGCATGCCGTTCCGACGTATGGATATCAGGGAACATGCGCACCAGCAGGCCCCTGATGCGCTGAAATGAGTAATGCTCGTCCGGCAAGTTGCCTACGACGCGCTCACGGCGCTCGGCCGCGAGCCCAGCCTTGCGCAGCAGGAACCAGCCAGCCACGTCGTCAAGCGTAGTGAGGTCAACCTCGTTCTCGCGTAGTTGTTGTAATCCCGCTTCGAATCGCACGAGCCAGTCCGTCATGCGTTCTCCACGGCGGCGATGATGCTGAGTCGACTCGAAGAACTTCTCTAGCGTCTCTCCCTTCTGTACCGGCTTTTGCTGGCCTAGGTTTGTCTCGAGATGCTTCAGCACATTCTCGATGCTTTTCTGGTTCCGATCGCGCTTCTTCTCGTTTGCCTCCTCAATGTCGGCGTCCGGCGGCGGGTGGAGCTCCTGCTCCGTCATGTTGAGTGCAGCCGATCTGGCGGTGCCCGTCAACCTCAAGACTAACTTCGATGCCGAGCTTTGTGTCACTTCCAGGTTCTCGCTGAGCTTCCACAATTTAACCTCTTGCTTGTAATCTCGCCACTTCGCTGGATCTCCATTCCAGCTTGGTATCACTGACTGGTTATGATTGAACTCCGTCATTTTGTCTACGAATGAACTGCAAGGAATACCAGAATACGAAATGAAATTGAAATCAAACTCAGTGCCGTAATCGATGTCGGCGCCTGCCGTGTCGATGAGCTGGTAGGGGATGTAGGCGTTGGGCTTGTCGCTGTCGCTGACGGCGCTGATGCTGAAGATGTCGGCGCTTCCCGATGAAGGAGATAAGCTGCGGGGGATCTCGGCGCTTGCCGATGTTGGAGATAGGCTGCAGGGGATCTCGGCGCTTGCCGATGTTGAAGGTAGGCTTCCGGTGAAGTCGCTGACGTCACTGGTGCTGTCGCAGGCGGTGTTGAACTTGAAGGGGTAGGTGCTGGCGTCGCAAACGCTGGCGTGGGAGAAAGTGTTCGGGATGTCGGCGCTTGCCGAGGCAGAGAGCTGGCAGGGGATGTAGGTATTGGGCTCTGCGCTGTCGCTGACGGCGCTGATCACGAATGTGAAGATGAGCACTGCGCGGCGGCAGAGCTGGACGGCGCTGGCCGTCGATTCCGTGGGCAGACGAGTCGCAGACGTCGTCGTGGAATATGTAAGGCCCGAAGGCCGGGGCAGCGAGCCTCGCTCCGCTACCACTATGATATGGAAGACCCGCAGGGTCGGATATCGCTGATATCGTTTTGTCGAATGACCGCGCGGCAATCAAACTGCGTAGCTCTAAGGCCAAGGGCCCTAGTATAAATTCCGAACCAAAACAGGCAGCGGGAAAAAGGGTGAGAGCAGCAAGAGCAGGGGCAGGAAAGGCTCGGGGAGTGAGCGGGAATCACAGTAACGACATTTTCTGAGAATTTGAATGACACGCTGGAGGCGAAAGCTATTGGCGGAGTGGCTGGAGCTAAAGGCGTTCACACTTACGTTTTTCCTTGCAGTGATGAAGTTGTCGATTCGGGTTCGGTGGCGGTTGGAGGTGCTGATCGTGTACCTGAGGTGGTTCCTGAAGGCGTCGGTTACTCGGCCGACGAGTGCAGGGCCATGTCTGTCGTAACGGCGGGCGCCGCCGACCTGCGGCCTCCTGGGTGTATTTCGGAGCTCTTCGGTCAGAACGCGGAACGGGCGGAGAAGCTGGTGCAGCTGCTGACGGAAGGCAAGATCTCTTACGCCGCGCTGGACGCGGAGGTGAGGGTCATGATGGCCGCCGGCGCGGGCGCTTCGTCTTCGACTCAGAGGGCGTCTTCTTCATCATAGATCCGGCATGCTGTACCGCGAGGGGTCAAAGGATGGCTTCATCATCGGCTCTGAGGTTTTCTTCGTGCCGTTTCGGCTCAACCTCACCTCTCCCCTCAGAGCTTGCGCATTTTCCAGCCAGCCTTCTAGTCCGTCCGCGAGCCTAGAACGGTTGTTGCCTACAGCGATCCTCCTCCTCCCCCTCCTCCCCCTCCTCCTCCTCCTCCTCCTCCTCCTCCTCCTCCTCCTCCTCCTCCTCCTCCTCCTCCTCCTCGTAAGTCTTTTTGCGGAGGCGGGCCTGGCCGCGCGGCGTCCGGCGTCCGGCGCCTTCGGCAGCCCTGCGCAGAGGGCGCATCGGGGCGCGCGCCGCTGTTGCCCCCGAAGACGCAGGACTCTTCGGCGATGTCCGCGAGTGCAGGCCCTACGGTGCCGCGTGGCCTGGCGGGGCCCTCAGGTGACGGACGGCCCTCGTGAACGCGAGGAGAGTGGCGACTTCGGGATTTGGTGGTCCACCTGAGAAGTTCCAGAGAGGGACAGGCAAGGGCCCTCTGGACAAGGAGAGCCAGCCCCCGCCGGGCGAGACCGACAGGGCATTCATGGAAAGGATGTCAAACAACAACAACAACAACAACAACAACAACAACAACAACAACAACAACAACAACAACAACAACAACAACAACAACAACAGCAACAATCATTTCAAGACTGTTCGCCCCTATCTGCTCGAGTGTCCAAGAACGCGTATGTCTCAAAACCTCGATACCCGCCCTCTCTGTCTTCGATCGAGCCCCTTTGGGGGGTAGACCTGTCTTCCCTGCAGGCCGGGCCCCGGCAAGCGGCGGGGCGGCCGCGGACCGTCGGCCTGGCCAGCGGCAGCGCTGATCGGCGGGGCGGCCGCGGACCGTCGACCCGACCCCCAGAGGGACGAACAGGGTACCGCCCACGACGAGGACGACGACGACGACGACGACGACGACGACGACGACGACGACGACGACGACGTCGACGACGATGACGACGACGACGACGACGACGACGACGACGACGAGCGAAAGCGAGATAGAGAGAGAACATCAGCAGGACCACGAAGGACACGAAGTAGGCCACGAAGGGCGACATCGGGGACGAACAGAATGCGTATGGGGTCACGAAGAGCGCGAACGAGCGGGGGCCACGAAAGGCAGATAATGCGGGGCCACAGAAGACAACGATGGGGCCACTGAAGGTAGCAACTGGGCCACGTAATTAGGACAGTGAGGGGGCCACACACGGCGACAGCGGGGCCACGAAGGGCATGCACATGGGGCCAAAACCGGCGCGAACGAGCGGTGGCCACGAAGTGCATACGTATATTGGGTCGCGGAGGGCAAGAACGGGGCCACTGAGGGCAGCAACGGGGCCACGAAGGGCATGCATATGGGGCCACCACGGGCGCGAACGAGCGGGGGCCACGAAGGGCATACATATATGGGGCCACGAAGGGCAGCGAGGGGACCACGAAGGGCTGCAACGGGGCCGCGAAACAAAGCGAGGGTGCCACGCAGGGCTGCAACGGGGCCACGAAGGGCAGCGAGGAGGCCACGAGGGACTGCAACGGGGCCACGACACAAAGCGACGGGGCCACGAAACAATGCGAGGGGGCCACGAAGGGCTGCAACGTGGCCGCGAAGGGCAGAGAGCAGGCCACGAGGGACTGCAACAGGGCCACGAAGCAAAGCGAGGGGGCCACGAAGGGCTGCAACGGGGCCATGAAACAAAGCGAGGGAGCGGGCCGCAACGGGGCCACGAAGGGCAGCGAGATCCCGCCTCCTAGATAATATGTGAGGGAGTCCCGAGCGTGAGCGCTACTCCTGGGTGTCTGGGTGTCGGGAGCGCGGCGCTTGAGTAAATTGCAAGAAATTCCGACGCAAAGGCGCTATTCTTCAGTAGGTTGCAAGAAAGTCTCCAGCGAGAGCACGACCCCAGAGCGCCGGGAGAGCGATTCTTGTATAAATTGTAAAGAAGTCCCAGGCGAGAGCGCGATTCCTCAACAAAATGCGAGGATGTCTCGGGCGGGAGCGGGGTCCTGGCTAAATCGTGAGGAAGTCTCAGGCGGGGGGTGCGAGCCCCGGGAAGGGCACTTCAATCGAAAAACAATGTGCACCAGACGGGGGGGATCAAAAATGATTATTCTTCAGAAATGAGAGTTCAACAACAACAACAACAACAACAACAACAACAACTACAACAATCATTTCAAGACTGTTCGCCCTTATCTGCTCGAGTGTCCAATAACGCGTATTTCCCAAACCCTCGATACCTGCCCTTTTCGTATTCGATCGAACCCCTTTTGGGGGGTATATTTTTCTCCCCTGCAGGCTGGGCCCCAGCAGGCGGCAGGGCGGCAGCGGACCGTCGGCCTGGCCAGCGGCAGCGCTGATCGGCGGGGCGGCCGCGGACCGTCGACCCGACCCCAAGAGGGACGGACAGGGGACCGACCACGACGAGGACGACGACGACGACGACGACGACGACGACGTCGACGACGGCGACGACGACGACGACGACGACGGCGACGGCGACGACGACGGCGACGACGACGACGACGAGCGCAAGCGAGAGCGAGAGAGAACGACAGCAGGGCCACGAAGGACACGAAGTAGGTCACGAAGGGCGACAGCGGGGACACGAACGTAATGCGTACGGGGCCGCGAAGAGCGCGAAGGGCATGCACATGGGGCCACAACGGGTGCGAACGAGCGGGGGCCACGAAGGGCATGCGCATGTTGGGCCGCGGAGGGCACGGACCGGGCCACTGAGGGCAGCGACGGGGCCACGAAGGGCAGCAAGAGGGCCACGAAGGGCGACAGCGGGGCCACGAAGGGCATGCATATGGGGCCACCACGGGCGCGAACGAGCGGGGGCCACGAAGGGCAGACATATATGGGGCCACGAAGGGCTGCAACGGGGCCACGAAGGGCGACAGCGGGGCCACGAAGGGTTGCAACGGGGCCACGAACGGCAGAGAGCAGGCCACGAGGGACTGCAACGGGGCCACGAAACAAAGCGAGGTGGCCACGAAGGGCTGCAACGCGGCCACGAAACAAATCGAGGGGGCCACGAAGGCTTGCAACGGGGCCACGAACGGCAGCGAGATCCCGATTCTTAGATAATCTGCGAGGGAGTCCCGAGCGTGAGCGCGACTCCTGGGTGGAGCGCGGCGCTTGAGTAAATTGCAGGAAATTCCAACGCAGGAGCGCCATTCTGCAGTAAATTGCAAGCAAGTCTCCAGCGAGAGCGCGACTCCAGAGCGCCGGAAGAGCGATTCTTGTATGAATCTGTAAGGATGTCGCAAGCGAAAGCGCGATTCCTGAAAAAGCTACGAGGATGTCTCGGGCGGGAGCGGGGTCCTGACTAAATTGCGAGAAAGTCCCCGGCGGGAGCCGTTGTTGTTGCAAGCCGGGGGCCAGGGGCTCAGTTTGAGCATCAAGATTTTTCTCGTCAGAAAAACAGGGCGCGAGCGTCGAGGGGGCGCACTTTGATCGGGAAAAACAGTATGCAACGGCGAGGGGGGATCAACTTCATAAGTGAGAGCTCAACAACAGCTCAGGGGGGACATGCCCCTGACGGTGCAAAAGGTGATCGGACATGATACTGACCCCGCTGTTGTCGACGCGCCAGACCGCGCTTGCGATTGCGGCCGCGGGGAATAAAGCGGCGGCCCAGGCCCCCCAAGATCTGCCCCAGCTGGATGCGACGGCGCCCAGGCGGAGCAGAGCGCGCAGCAGAAGGCCATCGAGGAGATCAAGACTCGCCCTCCGCCCTTCTGCGCCAAGCGCGCGGCCATCTACGAAGTCCCAGCCGCGCCGGGCGGCCGCGGAGCGAGAGAACGATACGCGCGGCGACCAACCTTGGGCGGGGCATCCGGGACACGGCGCTAGAAGGGGAAGCGCGAGACATCCTCAATCATGTCCAATGCCCGCAGGAACATATCTGCCATATCAAAGCGCCGCACGCGCTTGGCTCCGCCGCCGAGGTTTCTCGCGCGGACAATGCGAAGGGCCGGGCAGGGGTGGGCAGAGCCGCGGCATTGAAGGAGAGGAGCAGATACGACGATAATGTCATCTGGATGGGGGCCATATCGACCGCAAGGAGTTGGGGCCTGGCAAGACTTATTTGATTGTCGTTTTGTCGAAGCACGCGACGCCCGCGGAACCCGCCCTATGCGACGGGGCGAGGACGGTTCGCGGATTGGCGAACGGGTCGCACTTCGCGGTTAGAAGGGCTCAGCAAGGCCCCCCCTCCCCCCCCCCCCCCCCCCCCCCCCCCCCCAGCGGGGCGCAAGCGCGCCGACAATCCACATCAAGTCCGAGCTGAGGGCCGAGGGCGCGCGCGACGCCGCGAACTTGCGAGCGCAACGTTAAGCGACGGCGGGGGCGCCCCAGGCATGGGCCCGACGGATGCGGAGATCTCCGAGATTACTAATTCACTAGAGCTGAGATGCTGGGGCGCCATTGCGCTGTTCGAAGTTGGCCAGCGCCGAGACGCGGATGATGCAGAGCTTCGCCCGTTCCGAGGCCGCCACTGGCGCCCTCGTCGTCGCTGTTGCGAGGGTGGTTGGGCTTACTCCGCGCTACTTCGCACCGTTGCAAGGCCGCGCGCGAATGGCATCGAGGTCCGCGATAGATCGCGTCGCGTCGACGCCGCGACCCAGGGCCCGCATTCTAAAGAGAGCACGAGGAGGCAAATTGTTTTCAGCCATCTCGCCCACTGAGAACCTTTTTGACGACGATCTTCATGGTGCCATCTCGCTCGCTCGTTCTCGCCCGAATAGGGGCTATCTTAACGTCGACAGGGGGCGAGAATGCGCCCCCCCCCCCCCCCCCCCCCCCCCCCAAGCCTTGGCAGCGTGCTTGGCCTGGATACCTCCAGGCTGTTGACGGCGTAGGATTGCGATTTCGGCCGCCGCGTTTCAACGATTCTGACGACGCCAGCGTGGGGGCCCAACGATGATCGACCACGTTTCTTCGCCCATTGGATCGTCTCGACGCGATGGTTCGACGGTCTGGAGTTCGGGGGGCCGCGCCTTCTCGGGCGTCGATCTCCCCCCGCTGCCCCGCCCGAGGCAAATGAGGAAACCGCCGCGGCGGTGGCCCGAGGATTCGACGAACGCGCGCGCCTCGGCGAACGCTCGCACCTAGCGGCCCCCGAGCTCCTTTTCCATGGCGCCCAGCAGGGGCGCAGAGGAGGCGGAGGACAAGAAGGGCACTCGACGGGGGGGGGCATCAAGGGGAAGGACGAGGGCACCAGAAAGCACGGCCAGAATGATCCGGAAGCATCTCCCCGGAATGCGTTGGAACCAATGTCTGCTCTGCGTCGAATCTCGGGCCCCCACTTGCGCGGCCTGCGTCGGGTTCCTTTTCGCGCGCCGCTTCGACGCCAACGGGGCGCTATTGTCTCGGGGCCAGCGTTGCCCACCGCGATGGCCCGCGCCAAGGCCCGTTCCGATGCCAGGGGGGGCAGGGCGGCGGAGGG